ACACAAGCAGCTCCGGACAACTCTAAACTACATCCTGCTGACCCTGGCGGTCGCCAACCTCTTCATGGTCTGTGGAGGCTTCACCACCACCATGTACACCTCGATGAATGGGTACTTTGTCTTTGGAGTAACAGGCTGCTACCTCGAAGGCTTCTTTGCCACACTGGGCGGTAAGTTTTCCTGTCCACCAGGAATTGCCCTGGATTTTAGGAGTGGGAGAGAAGACACACAGATAATCTTGGAAAAATATGGTACCTGGAAGGTCCTTGGTCTGCCACTGATGTGGGCCAAGGCCATTGCTGTGTTTCCAGGTGGGAGGTGACAAAAGTGACAAGTGGCACATTTTTATTAACCTGCCTTTGAAAGCCACTTGCTCAGAATCCTGAGAACCACAATGCAGCAAGGAAAAGCAGCCAGGAGCAGATTTTGCACTTACTGGATTTGCACATCTCCTTGGCTCACTTTCTGACTCCAGAGATGACAATTTTGTTCCTCCCACTTTGCAGGGCTGAATCTGACGTTGGCTCTGGTGTGGTGCACAGCAGCATGGGTGAGCAAAGCTGGCTCTCCCCATGCCAGCCAGGCTTGCACCCAAACAGATGTTAAACAAAAATCATGTGTCTAAAAGTGCCCTCCCCACTTGGCTCAGCCTTCAGCCTCAGCTGCTGTTCTACTGGTTTGGTCCTTGTGGCACCAGTTTCCCGGGAAGCTCTGGGTAGTGAGGGGAAATCCTGGGATGACAGGCACTTGATGCATCTCAGAGTGTGACCACAGGCTGCAGGACTGCCTGGGATGAGTGGTGGGATCCAACCATGGATCTCAAAACACAGCAGCAAAGTGGTTCCTGTGGGTCAGCAGTACAGTAGGAGGGTTCTCCTCACGCTGTCCTGCCACATCTGCACTTGACCTTTGTTCGTTTCTCTTTCTGAGCTCTTGGTGGAGATTTACCTGCTTCCAGGGGTTGTCCTCAGGAGCATCAGTCCGAGGAGGCCTCATGCTGCCATCAAGGCATTTTACTCTTCCTGCAGCTCAAGCCCTTGCATTCCTCTCCCTCCCTCTCCCTGGTGCAGGTGAAATTGCTCTGTGGTCTCTGGTGGTCCTGGCTATCGAAAGATACGTAGTGATCTGCAAGCCCATGAGCAACTTCCGCTTCGGGGAGAACCACGCGTTCCTGGGCGTTGCCTTCACCTGGATCATGGCCCTGGCGTGTGCGGCTCCGCCGCTCTTCGGCTGGTCCAGGTAGGGAGGGAGCTGGGCCTGCTGCTGGGCCCTGGCTCCTCGGTGTCTCCTCTGCTGGGCACTCACCGTGCTCACCCTACAGGTACATCCCCGAGGGCATGCAGTGCTCGTGTGGGATCGACTACTACACTCTGAAGCCAGAGATTAACAACGAATCTTTCGTCATCTACATGTTCGTTGTTCATTTCATGACTCCTCTGACGATCGTGTTCTTCTGCTATGGGAACCTGGTTTGCACTGTCAAGGAGGTGAGTACCTGCCAGTGGTGGTGGGTCAGGGCCACCCCCAGGGATGGGACAGGGCCCAGGCTCCAAACTGGTGGCAGGGAGGGCCCTCCAGGGGCCAGGTTGGCCCTCCAAAGTGGGAAATAGCAAACTCCAGATGTGCAGCTCAAGTGCCATGAGCCCTGACCCTGCATCCCTGTGGGTGCTGCTCTCCCCTGCTCCATCACATCTCCTTCCCTTCTGCCCACAGGCTGCTGCCCAGCAGCAGGAGTCTGCCACCACCCAGAAGGCAGAGAAAGAAGTGACCCGCATGGTCATCATCATGGTCATCGCCTTCCTGATCTGCTGGGTCCCCTACGCCAGTGTCGCGTTCTACATCTTCACCAACCAGGGGTCAGACTTCGGGCCCATCTTCATGACCATCCCAGCCTTCTTCGCCAAGAGCTCTGCCATCTACAACCCTGTGATCTACATCGTAATGAACAAACAGGTAGCTGCAGGGTGCTGCACAGCTCCTTCCTTGTGCTCCACTTCTGACAGCTGGCAGAGAGCTGTGGCCTCTCCAGGTGCCAGGGTGGGGGAGTTGTTTCCAGGTGATCTCGTCCTGCACATGGGAGGGTGACTGTGCAGCTCATCCTTGGTGGGTCGATGGAGGAGCTGGCGCTGCAGCAGGCAGGGCTGGCAGCAGGAGGGGTGGGCAGCAGGGCAGGAGACTTCATCAGCTTGGTGCCTCCTGCCCTGCAATGCTCTGCTGGGCTTGGAGCAGCCCTGCAGCTGGAGCTGCCTGCTGTCCACCTGCCTTACCTTGGCTTTCCCTGTCTCCCAGTTCCGTAACTGCATGATCACAACCCTCTGCTGCGGCAAGAACCCCCTGGGCGATGAGGACACGTCTGCTGGAAAGACAGAGACCACCACCGTCTCCACCAGCCAGGTCTCTCCTGCATAGGCCCCACCAGTCCCTGGGGTGTGTGTCACTGCCCTGGGAGCACAACTTGAGCCCCACCACTGCCACCACCTGCCCCACTTCACCACGGCCAAGGTCCTGTGGAGTGGGCTCCTCTCTCCTGGCACTAGGAACCCTGGGAATGAGGCTGAAAATACATACACATTTTGTAATTAAAATGCAAAGGCTTAGCTCCTCTGGTGTGAATCTGTGAGTTTCTGTCAACTTGCTGAGATCTCGTGCCCCTGCTCTGAGTGC